CCACATGCACCTAGACTTAGCAATATTCATTTTAAATTTTTTGATTGTGCATGATGATGGATATACACCATCAGAAAAACATTGGGGAAAAAATACTGATCCACTCCTTAGGGCAAAGTGGAAGGATCCTATGACAGGACAGTGGAAAGGCCCTGACCCCTTGCTTAGACAGGGTCGAGGATGTGCTTGTATCTTCCCACAGGATGAAGAAGCGCTGCGCTGGGTTCCAGCCAAATTTGTTAGAGATATCAAAACTGAGAAGGAAGATGAGTCGGCTGAACTTATGCCCTCCTCGGAGAAAGAGGACTTGTAAGATGAATCTGCCATCATGGGGACAAATAAAGAAGTTAACCTCACAAGCCACAAGTTTGATAAGAAGATTGATTTCAACACAAAGTTATTTCTGGTGCAACAACCTCCATATTGGATGATCCCTGTTGATGTGAGAGGACCTTGGTACGCGAACTTTGGTATGCAGTTAGCTCAAGAATTGGTGAAAAAGCTAAAAAGAACTCGAAGATTTCTTGGACTTTTAATTGCAGGGATAGTGGCTACTATTGCTCTTATTGCTTCTGCTACTGTATCTGTTGTATCTTTGCATGAAAATGCTCAGACCGCTGAACATGTAAATGAATTTGCTAGAAATGTAACTGTTGCTCTTGATGCTCAAAAGAGAATTGATGAAAAAATTGAGCGCAGATTGAAGCTTTAAAAGAAGCCGTTTTATATCTTGGTGATCAATTTGTTGTACTAAAAACTATAACCCAATTGACTTGCCATGACGCTTATAAACATATTTGTGTTACCCCACTGCCTTTTAATGGATCATGGGAAAATGTACGTATGCATTTACAAGGAGTTTGGAATCACGCTAATATTAGTCTGGATCTCTTAAAATTACAACAAGAAATAGACATCATTAGTCAAAGTATGTTGCATTATGAAGACCCCGGCGATTTAGCTGGTGAGATCTTAAATCAGTTAAATGGTTTTAATCCCTTCAATTCACTGAAATATTCCTTTTGGATATTTTTGGTATTAATAATCGGATTAATTCTGATGTATGTAATGTTTGCCTGCTCTTGCAAAAAATTCAATAATCAATTAAATTCCTCTAAGGCACAACTTCACTTTTTGCATTTGAAAAATATAGGGGGAGACGTCGGGGGCAGTCCCGCGGTGCGAGGCAGGGTTCCAAGTTGAGCCAAAGCTCCATGTCGTCCCTAGCCAACCCGCAGTCCTGCGGCGTGAGGCAGGGTTCTGGGATGAGCAAAGGCTCCTTGTCATACCTGGCCAACCTGCTGGGGCTGCACCTAGCTCTTCCCCCTTATGGAAGTAAATGTACATATTTGCTTCTCCTTTAAAATGTTATGGAGACAAGTTCCCATAAAGTAAGCAAGGAGGTGGCCTGACACATGACCGCCTTGGCAGACATTACTTAATAAACAAACCTCACTGTTTAGTCTATACGTGGCCTTCCTGCTCTATTGCCTAAACAAATAACAGGTGTTAGTTTCAAAAACAATGTATGTTTGTGCGCGAGATGTACTTCTCCTTAAAGAAATAAGCCGCCTGCTTACGGACGCTATATAAACTCTACATGCAACAATAAAGCTTGTCCATTGCAGCCATCAGCTGCATGGAACCTCCTATCCCATGAACTTTTAGTCTCTTGTTTCTTTCTCATCCCCTTGCCCTCGGTTCCTGAATCCGGACCTTCTCGCGCCGGCCGCGACACACAAGGATCTTTCTAACTACTTCAATTTGCTTATTGCTAAAGTCCCATTCCAACAGTGAAAAATCTGGCTTCAACCATCTGTCACACATTTACTTGTTGATTTCCAATATGCCTCTAAAGCCATATCAAAGTTGTTAATCCATGCCCCTGTGGAAACAACTTGACCAACTGGAGTAAAGGGTTTATGAACAGTTCTTTTTGCTTTTATGCCTACATTCCATTCATTTCCAAAGTAACTTAAGTCAGTATCTTTTCCCACCATCCCATTCAGTGAAGCTATTCAATGCATTTACCAAACAGGCAGATTATTTTTTTTATAATCTACGTTCCTTCTTGGAATCCTCTAATTTGCTAAATAATTATTTTTTTAAAAAAATTATCTGTTAATTTGAGAAATAGAGAGAGAAAGAGATTGAGAGATCAGGAGCACAGGACAGGGAAGGGCAGAGGGAGAGGGAGAAACAGACTCCCCACTGAGCAGAGAGCCCAATGCTGGCTAGATCCCAGGATCCTGGAATCATGCCCAGAGCCAAAGGTAGATGCTTAACTGACTGAGCCACTCCGGTACCCCTAAGTAGTCATTTCTAATTTATATATATTAATATCCATTCTATGTTGTAAAGTTCTTTTTTTAAAGGTGTACAATATCATGTACTTGCCATCACAGTATCATACAAAAGAATTTGATCTACCTAAAAATCACATGTACTTCAACTATTTATCTGTAGACAAATGGTTTTATTCTTTCCTTCAAAATCTGTATACCTTTTATTTTTTTTGTGTGTTGCCTTAAAGTTCTAGCGAAGACTTGCAGTATGATGCTGAATGGGAATAGTGAGTGGTGGCATATCTGCCCTGTTGCTCACTTTAGAGAAAGAGCAACCAGTTCCTTGCCATTAAGTATGATATTAGATATAAAGGTTTCTGTAGATGTTCTTTACCAACTTGAAGAGTTACCCTTTCTTTAGTCCTGGTTTGCTGAGAGGTCCCCCAACCCCACCGCCAGAAATGGGTGTTGGATTTTGCCAATGCTTTTACTGAATCAGTTGATATAATAATATGATTTTTCCTCTTTAGCCTGTTGATGCAAAGGATAACATTAAATGAGTTTTGAATACTGAATATATTCCCATTAGTGGTTTACATATTTACTTTGAACTGATATCTGATATCCAAGTGCAATGAATTTTAAAGGAAATTGTCATAACTATAGATATCAGTTAAAGAGTAAAACGATTAATTCTTCAAAGGAGACACTTCATTTTGGTATTCTATATGTCCACTTTGGCCATTGAAAATTTTGTGTGTTCTTGGAACTAAACTCTAAAATAAATTTCACACATAAATGTGTATATATAGGAAATACTGAGTGATAAAGTAGACCTTTATCTTTTCTAGCGTTTTCCCCTAAATGTTTCTGTGGATTTTATAATTCTCATAGAAAATTTTGATCAAAGGTTTAAAGCTTAGGAGCAGGTCAATAAAGATAATAGTACAGGAATATAAGACATTATGAGGGCAGCCAGGGTGGCTCAGCTGTTTAGTGCTGCCTTCAGCCCAGGGCTGGATCCTGGAGACCTGGGATCAAGTCTCACGTTAGGCTCGCTGCATGGAGCCTGCTTCTCCCTCTGCTTGTGTCTCTGCCTCTGTGTGTGTGTGTGTGTGTGTGTATTTGTCTCTCATGAATAAATAAATAAAATCTTTAAAAAAAAGAGTATGATGCAATTAGGAGTTCTAAATTATGTACCAATTTTTTAGGTAGAAGGACAGACAGGAAGTAATTTAAGCTATTTGGTCATGTGATCTCTGTCCTAATTATTCAAATTTGCCAGTGGAGGGCAAATCTTCCATAGACAGTACATACATTCATGGATATGGTGATGCTCCAATAAAACTTTGTTTACAGAAAGAGGCAGCATGCTGGATTTGATCTGTGTGCAATGCTTTGTCCCATGGATTTGACGTATTTTCAGAATCTTAGAGTTTTCCTTAAGTTTTGAAACTATATATATATTTTTTTAATTTTTAATTTTTTATATGTATATTTTTATTGGAGTTCGATTTGCCAACATATAACACTCAATGCTCATCCCATCAAGTGCCCCCCTCAGTGCCCATCACCCAGTCACCCCGTCTCCCAGCCCTCCTCCCCCCCTCTGCCCCTTGTTTGTTTCCCAGAGTTAGGAGTCTCTCATGTTTTGTCACCCTCTCTGAGTTTTCCCACTCATTTTCTCTCCTTTCCCCTATAATCCCTTTCACTATCTTTTTATATTCCCCGTATGAGTGAAACCATTTAATGATTGTATAGTAATAGTGTTATCAGGCTGTACTGATTTGACAGTTTTCTAGTAAAGTAGAAGCAATTCTTGCTTGGGGTGTTGTCAAGATATTGCAGTAGATTTATCACTTATAAGGCATTTTAAAGAAACTTAAGAAATATCTACCACAATATAGAAAAGAAGAGGAGATGTAAGGGGATAAAAAATTAAAAGGTTTATATTTATTAGGCAAGTAAGTATAAGCATATTTGTGGGCAATATTGCATAATACAGAGCATGTATTTTGAAAGCCAGAGTCCCTGTGTTCAATTTTACATTGCCATGTGCTAGGGGAGTTACCTTTATGCAATTTACTAAACCTTTTTGTGCCTCAGTTTCCTACTTGGTACGAGGAGAATAATAATATTACCCAAATCACAGTATAGTTTTGTGGACTAAAGGAGTAAATAAATGTAAAAGGCTTAGTAAACAGCCAAACCCACAGTGATCATTATTTGATTGTTAAGCCATTATCACAACTGTTATAACAAGTAAAATGAAACTTGAAAATGACGACTTTTACTGAAGAATTTTAATCAGTACATGTAACAGTGTGATATGGAAAAAAATTTGTTTTCATAAATTACATTGTCCAATATACTGAGAATTTTTAAATCATTACAAAAATTAACCTAGTTACTTCACATTTGTGAATATCATAAAATATTAATCATAAATATAGAATACAAAATAATGTCAATAATAAATAACAATTATTGCAAGTATTTATTGAACGCTTCCCATGAAGCTTATTTCCAAGAGAAAGAAAGGGAAATATTAAAAAAGGAAAAAAGAGAGAAAAATGTACAACATCAAATATCCCTGCTGAGAAATAAAACTGAATTGAGAAACTGTATGTTGGGGACAAAGTTGCAACTATTGTTAATGTACCATGATTGCATAGAACAGAATCTGCCAATACGGGTTTGTGTTTACATCATATTTTAGTTTCCAGAAATAATCTTGTTTGAGAGGAAGAGACTAACCACTCGGTCACGAATCTGTTTGGTCTTGACACCATACACCAGGGGATTGACTGTGGGAGGCACCAAAAGATACAAACTTGCAAAAATTATATGAATGCTTGGAGGTACCTTCTTGCCAATACGGTGAGTTAGGAAACTAAATAGTGCAGGTGTGTAGAATACAAGTAGAGTGCAGACATGGGCAGCACAGGTGCCCAGCGCTTTAGAGCGGGCATTCTGAGAAGATAGTCGGAAGACTGCCTGAAGGATCTTGATATAGGATGTGGCTATGAGCCCTAGGTCCAACACCATCACTGAAAGGGCCACAGAGATTCCATATGCTCTGTTAATGAGGGTGTTGGCACTGGCCAGCTTCACCACAGCCATGTGCTCACAGTAGGCATGATTGATAACATATTTAGTGTAATATGGTAGCCTTTTAATAAGAAGAGGACAGGGCAACACCATAAAGGTAGCTCGGATCACACCAGCTAGACCCAGTTTAGTGACCATTGGTGTTGTCAAGATGGTTGTATAACGCAGTGGGATACAAATAGCTACATATCGGTCGAAGGCCATGGCAACCAAGAGGGCTGACTCAATTATGCAGAATGTGTGGATAAAATACATTTGTGCTAGACAGATACTAAAGTCAAACTTGTGAGCATCCAACCAGAAGATACCCAGCATCTTGGGGGCTGTGGAAGAGACAAGAGCCATGTCATTCACTGCCAGCATACAAAGGAAGAAATACACAGGCTGGTGGAGGCTGGGCTCTACTTTGATGGTGATGATGATTACACTGTTCCCCAGCAGGGCCAGGGCAAACAGGAGGCAGACAGGGATGCCAATCCAGCAGTGAAAAGCTTGCAAACCAGGAATACCAACCAGGAAAAAAGATGAGATGTAGCTATGTGTAGCATTGTCTGCCATATTAAAACTGGAGAGTTTGCATGCCCTGGTGCAAAGTAGTGAGGCTAGTTTCCTATAGGAAGAAATCAAGTTGACAGAATAATTATTTATTTATGGAGATTCCAGGCACACTAAAATAGCCTATGTAAAGGACTGACTCTTCTCTAAAACTTCTGTAAGTTGTTGGGTTAATCACTTCACCGTTATGGACCCCGGTATCTTTATTTGCAAATAAGATGGACTTCTTTTTAAGTTTTCTCTTCTCTGTTCAATTTTTTTTCTGTTCTAGTTTTATATTTCCATTATCTATTAAGTATAAAAGCAGTGATAAAATTTCTGCTTCTTTGTGCCTAGGATTTTTTGAATTGTGTGATATAGACATCAGCTTTGCTTTAAGAAAGACAAAGGCCACAATATCCAAACAGCGGAAGGAGCCTCGGTGTCCATCGAAAGATGAATGGATAAAGAAGATGTGGTCTATGTATACAATGGAATATTCCTCAGCCATTAGAAATGACAAATACCCACCATTTGCTTCGATGTGGATGGAACTGGAGGGTATTATGCTGAGTGAAATAAGTCAGTCGTAAAAGGACAAACATTATATGGTCTCATTCATTTGGGGAATATAAAAAATAGTGAAAGGGAATAAAGGGGAAAAGAGAAAAAATGAGTGGGAAATCTCAGTGAGGGTGACAGAACATGAAGACTCCTAACTCTGGGAAACGAACTAGGGGTGGTGGAAGGGGAGGTGGGCTGGGGGTGGGGGTGACTGAGTGACGGGCACTGAGGGGGCACTTGGTGAGATGAGCACTGGGTGTTATTCTATATGTTGGCAAATGGAACACCAATAAAAAATAAATTTATATAAAAAAAAGGAAGACATAGGCCACTGCTCTCAAGGAATTTTCAATCAGGTGTGAAAATTCATGCAGGCATACACAAACACACAGATACACACATGCATATATACAATAATTTGCAGGTTACACAAAAGGCAATTGTAATTTTAACAATATGGTAGACCACAGACAACTTAAATAATCAGGAAGGCATAATCAGGAATGCATAATAAGAAATCCAAGCAGCTTAAATATAACCAAAATTCTTGTGAACATTAAAAATAAAACCTTATTCTCACTCATGGCTAATGCCTTCTTAATTCAGAAAAGATCTTAAAGATAAACAGAAGGACAGGATATTAGAAGCATATATCGAAAGTGAGGGGTATTAGCTGAAAATAATAGAAAAACACAGATCTGTCATCAGAATTTTAAATAGATATTGTCCAGAACACATTTTTTTTTGCCATGACTATATCTCTACAACTTTTTATGTAATTCAAAAACAAGTACCTAAAAGACTGCATTTATCAATCCACCCAATTTTTTAAGTGTATACTGTGTTTCAAATAATGAGGAAAAACTGTTTTTTTTTTTTCTGAGCTATCCAAAAACAGTTAACTGTATTCAACATTAGATGATATTACCAGATGAAATATTTAAAAAGATTTACATGAAACATAATTTAGCATTTTAAGTGATGGGGGAGGGATCCCTGGGTGGCGCAGCGGTTTGGCGCCTGCCTTTGGCACAGGGCGCGATCCTAGAGACCCAGGGTCGAATCCCACGTCGGGCTCACGGTGCATGGAGCCTGCTTCTCCCTCTGCCTGTGTCTCTGCCTCTCTCTCTCTCTCTCTCTCTCTCTCTCTCTCTCTCTCTCTCTGTGACTATCATAAAAAAAAAGTGATGCGGGAAAATTGTAAATAAGTTACGTGCCTTGACAATTATTTTTCTTTTTTGAAAATTTCATTTCCTCATTCCTTCAGATAATTTAAACATTGCTATCAACACAGATTTTTAGCTAATGGGAATAATGTAAGTTCTTTTGGCATTCTGCTCCCCGGATTCCTGGCCTTGACCCTTGCTTTGCAACCTGTCTAATGACGGTGAGAGCAAAGTAATTCCAATCCAGTACTCCAGGTCTCAGTGCTACAAGCATCTTTTCATGATCCTTCACTGGTCTTGTCCTTTTGTTCCAGTAATGGCCCTCAAACCTTCTTCTGAGGATCTAATTTCCTCCTAAAATAGCAATTCAGAAATGCACACGCTCATCGTCATCTGTTGTCTTTTTAAAATTTTTAATTGTTCCCAATATCTACTCCTGAAACTCATCTGATACGAAAGTTCAATAAATATTAATAAATATTCCTATTGGCAATACCTCTTTGTTTGAATTTTCATGTAATATCTGTTCAGAAAAAAAACAATTCTGGTTATAATGTGCATATTCTCCTCTTAAGCATATGCTACTCTGGACCTATGTGAGTATCTGAGGTGTTTCCGTATAAGAAAGGGAGAATTCAAATTTGAGGTAATCATTATAAATATTTCAGAAGAATTCAGAATTTAAACATTATCCAGAATACAGAGACCCAGAATTTTGGATTGTCACATTGGATGTGAGTCCCATAAACTCAGGTAGAGTTAAGAATTTGGGGCAAGAAATTGGGAATATTGAACATTTAAACTATAAAAGATGTTTAAGTTTAATAAAAAGATCTTTATAGGTTTATAGGTTTTTCCATGTTCTTCCATTTAGGAAAACCAAAAATTCAAGAGGATGTTTGGCAGAGAACTAGGTATACAGCAAGTGAGTAGTACATCTAGAAGTATAAATATCATTTCTAGGTAGAAAAAATTACACAGAACAAAAAAATAAGCTTAATTGCTTTGTGATACATACATACTTAGTCATAAAAGTAGGTCTATAGGCATCAGTAAATTTACTTATAAGGCGATACTAAGGGGTGTCTGGGTGGCCCAGTTACTTAAGCCTCTATAATTGGTTTGGGTCATAATCCCAGGGTCCTGGGATTGAGCCTTACCTCAGGTTCCCTGCCCAGCAGGGAGTCTGCTTCTCCCTGCTCATATGGGCCTCTCCCACATCCCATCCCCTTCTCCACCCCTACTCATGCTCTCTCTGGCTATTTCCATCTGTGTGATAGATAGAAAGATAGATAGATGATAGATAGCTAGATAGATAGATAAATAGAATCTCTCTCTCTCTCTCTCTCTGTCTCTCTTTAAATAAAAGACAATACTGGGAGAAAGAACCTAAGTAGTTTCAATTTATAGAGAGGGCAGGCTCCTGGAATGTGTAACTCAGGGAACTATAGGGAAACAACTCCAAGAACATGGCAGCCTATTTTGAATGAGGTCAATAAGGTTGCTTATTACCTTATATTTGCCAGACAGATTGCCAGGGAAGTCAGAAAGCCTGCCCACACCCTCTAGCTTCCTGTTAGTTCGGATTTTGCATTTGTTTCTGAAACATACAGATACTATGTTCCTTCTGCCACCCGACTTTAGCATTTTACCTGCATCAGGGTTATTTAGCGGAATCTGTGGCCTGTAACCTGCCACTCCAGAGAGCATGATGCTAGTAGAGCATGCAATGTTTTCTATGTTCTGTTCTATTATATGTAACTGTTTTACCACGTCTTAAATAATCACAGTTGGAAATATGCCACACGATGTTCACTGTTTTCCTCAAAGCTCCCCTACTAACTGCCCGTCTCTCATTTGTTGGCAACAGCTGTCACACAGTCATTTAAACCAAAAATCTCAGTTATCCTTGACATTACAATCAAGCCCTTTAAAACCTTAACATTACAATCAAGCAGCCATTATATCTCCCTGAATTTAATGATTTGATATCCATCAAATTCAGCATGTCATTCATCCTTTCCTCCTTTATCTGTGACATTTATTAACTCCCATAAAGTCTGTGGCTTAGCCTCCTAATTATTTCTCCCGTTTCTGGCTTTTCTTTATAAAGTCCACCTCCTCACATCATCAATTATCTTTCAAAAGTCAGATATGATTATTTTGCTTAAAGTCTTATCATTAAAAGTATTGTCTTATTCCAAAATAATGTTAATTCATGCTGGTTTGGTTTTTTTTTTTTTTTTTGCATCTCTCAAGCTTCCAGTCTTGCCATTACTTCCTTTCAGTGTATCCCAGAACTTCTAGCAGGTCTGGGATCATACAATATGGTTTTATTCTTTATGACTTTAAACTGTCTCTACATTTGGACTTGATTAATTTTTCCCTCACCTGCTTTATAGTCTTTAATCTGTCTTTTCAATTCCTGTTGAACCTTTTCTGATTCTCTCAAGTGCTTGTTGTCTACTTCAAACTGTGATGAACCCTCCTATGCTCCCATATCTTTCACATACATTGATGAGCACAAATATTACATCTTGTGGTAGCTATTCCTTTACTTGTCCTAAGTATTCCACTATCAATATGAGACATCAAATAAAAAGACCATATATTAAGGACTTTGTGTCTCCAGTGTTTTGCTTACTTTCTGATACAGAGGAAGCAGCTAAACTGTCAGTGATTTGACATTAACTGAGATATTCTTTCTGTTAGATAATGTTATGATAGTGGAAAGGTGTTTTTTTTTTTTTATGATAGTCACAGAGAGAGAGAGAGAGAGAGAGAGAGAGAGAGGCAGAGACACAGGCAGAGGGAGAAGCAGGCTCCATGCACCGGGAGCCTGACGTGGGATTTGATCCCGGGTCTCCAGGATCGCGCCCTGGGCCAAAGGCAGGCGCCAAACCGCTGCGCCACCCAGGGATCCCTGTAAAGGTGGTTTTTAATCATGAGAGCATGTTATGTTCTGTTTGCACATGGGAAAGGTGGTGGTTCCAGACTTACTAAATACCCTTCATCAATAAATACATTCCTCCTCCAGTTTAATCAAAGATAATACATTCTCTTAATTTTCATCAATGCTGTGCTTCCTTGCAAAAAGCAAAGGCAACACAGTATGTAAGTATAGTATCACATCCAAAGAATCCCTATGTGCTGTATCCTAAATGGGTACAGAGGGAATTATTTTGAGACATGGAGAGCAGCATTTGGTGACTATGGTTTTCAGTGACAGACATAAGTCCCAAACCTCATTTATGTTCGTACGGGAATGTGCTAGTATACAGGTTAGTCGTTTTC